CTTGGTTTCGATAGTCAAAGAATCCGTATAGTAAAACAGTAAAACAAAGGTTCTTCGGAATTCAGACCAATTATATTATAAAGTAAAATATGGAACGACGAATGGGTTTTCAGGGTGATCAATCCTCTGCGCGATTCGTCTGGGGCCACCGAAGATCGGTGCACCGAAGAAAGACATCCAGCGGTACGGATCGGCCCATCCGCTATACCCTATAGGGATCCAGTCGTACCGAACCTCAGGTACGGTGAGCAGGGATTGATGTAGGCGCCATTGGAGGGCCCAGTCGTAGCTCCTGAGGTTCGGTATGTGGATTCCTACCAGCACCCCCAGTCGGGGTGGTGCTATAAATAGACACCCCTTGGACCTTCCGTCGGGTCCTGGTCGGGTCCTGGATAGGATCGGAGGTTCGGCAGATCGGATTTGGGAACGTTGGTTCGGTCCCACGGCGCGCGCTGAGGATCAGCAAATCGGAGTTCCAACAGCTCATCGTGAGGGGCGCCCGGGGCGGGGCGACGGAGGGGTGGGGACAGGACGAAGGTGTTGTGGAGCCTGGGTGTTGGGTGCTCGATCCAAAGAAAAGACCAGGGAGAATGATTGTTCCCATTAGGCAACATTAGACGATACCCTGGAAGTTCAAGACATTTAAAACATTGTTGACCTGGTGTTGTAGTATAACATCCTTAGTATAACAATGGTGCTTTGGCAAAAACCATTCCAATAGTGGTGGTTGGAAGCCTAAGGTGTAGACATGGGTTTGAGATGTTATGTTAGGGTCTGGACATGTCTGGACCTTATGCTTTAGGGGGGTCTGGACTCACTCAATTAACAAGGGTCGAGAAACAGCACCTGTCGTAGGATGAAAGCATCCTTTGCCCCGAGTCAGCTTTGGAAGTCTCATGTCTGTGTTGCTTTTTGGATGGCCTTTGAGTCGTTGGCAGTTGCGCAGCATGAATCAGACAAGACAGATGAGTCTCGGACTCAGACTTCGCCTTTTACGGGCCCACCCAACGACCGGATGAGGTCGAGCCGCCCATTGCCCGGATCGTCCGGAACCTCAGAGCTTCCTCAGAGCTTCCGGCCAAACAGGGGTCAATCAGGTTCTAGGTTGTTACCACCCTTCCACACCAGACCTTCGACTGGGAGAGTATTCCATCTGACCCATCGTCATAGGGCCGGGTGTGTTCGGCGCCACCATCGGCACCCGGCGAGCTCGAGCTCGAGCCGCGAGCCGCGAGCCGGAGGTTCCCGAGCTCGGGGGTCAGACTAGCCAGTCGTCGGACCCCTCCTTTGAGGGGTTCCCCTTCTACCTTCAGTTAACAACAGACACTTTGCGAGGTTTTCACAGCGCCAGATATGTTCGGACTATCCCATACCACTATGACCGGGTCGCAGTTCAGGTCCGTCAACCATCTCTTGGCCCTACGAATTGCAAACGGGCCCTTGCACGAATAGAAGGGTCGGAACTTCTCCCCCCCTCACAGGGGTCCGGGACCCGATTCCCAAACCAAACATGCCCCAGAAGTCCAAAGACTATGTATTTCCTATGGAAGAGGGTTGGGTCCCAGCCGCCAAGGGTTAGGAGCTCCCCACCTGGCGCCACCGAGCTCCAGCCGTTGGCAAAGACCGGAGCCGACTTCGGCTCCACTGAGGCTCCCAGACTCCTAGGTTGGAGGCCATTAATTCCTAGTAGGTTGGAGGCCTTCGCTATCAGCTGATCGTCCCCAAAACGGCGGAGGACATCGGCGGAGATTTCTTGGTGTTTTCCTCATTTTGCCTCGCGCGCGCGCAACTACTCGGCCGAGATTCACGCGGTGGGGGTGGACGTGATGACTCTTTGCGATGCTTGGCTTGGACTGCGCGGTGTATCAAACGGTGTAGAATTCGGTTTATACTACATAACTAAGCAGCCTGCTTGCAAGGGAAGCTTTGTATTGAAGCGCCATACTTTGGGGTCTCTTTATTTTGAGAGTCTCAGCCTCTAGCCACTCTGCAAGTTCCAGTGCACATAATCAAGACTGCTTACATGTTTTTTTTGCGACTTCAAGTGACGTCCCACGTGTTTTGGTCCCACTTTCATGGCTGAAAAAAAACAGGGCGCCTCATCAGTGCGTAGCGCAGCTTGCTGCTCCCGCTCCCTGCGCAGCTGCTCCGCTCCCGATGAGGAAATGCTGGACCTGATCTTTGAGGAAGTCGAGCGAGAGGGTCCGCGACCGACTGGTCGGCTCGCCGTCCGATGGTCGGCTCCCAACAGCTTTCTTTTTTGGTGTCGGAGCATGAATTCGAAAGAACCAACAGCGAAACAGGAGGATTTTCCAACACTTCCATGCATGATTTCTACCAGGAGTCACAAGACGGGGTGGTGTTTAGTCCCTAAATGAGTGGATCATGGACACCCCGACTCCCTCCATTAAGCAGCCGTTTGTGACTGCCTGGTGTCCCTGAAATGTTCTGTTCTGGCCTTCGTGGCTTTCAACAGCAGCGGCAGCGGTTTCCTGGGATCGGTCGAAGCTGGTGTGAGCAGCAAGAAGTCCTGCCAACATCCTGGACCTTCAAGGGGTGTCCAATGGAGGTCCCTTAGTAGTATACCATCCACGCGAGTGTCGTGGAGTATATACGTGGAGTTCACCAGCTGTTTGGTCTTCGGAGGTCTTCTGCTCATCCAACTCCTCCTGCTGCCTTACATGGCGAGCACCGAACACGTCCGCCATGTTCGTTTTTCGAACACGTCGCCAGGTTGGACGGGGATGCCGTTCTCCATGCTCATCGAGAGCATCTTAAGCTCCTCGACGCGCTTTTGCGCCGTGACGACGCGCGTTTCGGCCGGCGTTTTGGCCGCCGTTTCGGGGTGCGAATTACAGTATGATAGAGGTCCTGGTAGAGAAAATGCACACCATTTGTGGAAGTGCACACGTTCATCTCTCGCTGCCCAGGTAGCCAAAGGTTGGGCCTTCCAGACCTGGCAGGTTCTGACGTCCCACGCAAGCGTCCGATGACGTATTCTGGAGGTTCAGCCACCCACACTGGCTCAGGCTGTCAGCAGACTTCGAAACAGCTGTAGCCAGCAAAGCATCCAAGCTCCGGCGAGGAGTCTGAGCAACCATCGCAGTAGGCCTGGCTCTACAAAATGGCACCTCTGAAAAAAGAGTCTACTAAATCCGGATACGAAAACGTCTACAAAATGCGGGCATCGACGTCATTCTGTAGAAAGTGGCGCGCGTCTGTTCTAGGATCTACACTGCTTTTCCCAAATCAAGTGGGCTTTGTAGAGAAACATCCTACAAAAAGACATCTGCTGTCGACAAAGGACTCTACCAAATGTTGTCTACAAGAGACCCGACAAAATGAATTCGAAATGCAATTGCAAAATGAACCTCGACAATAGGGTGCCATGGCCTATACTGACCTGAAACGGACTGAAAATCCAAGCTCGAGCTCATAGAGCTCGAGCTTTCACACATGTGCTCGCCGCTTGTAAAGGAGTTTTTGGCTTAGTCTCCCTGTGAAGATCGCCGAGCAATCTCACCATGGGAAGCGGTGCCAGTACCAAGAGTAGTGGAACAGGGAGCCCTTCAAAGCCAAGAAGGACCCCGCATTCGGGCTCCAGGCTACATCAGATGCGGCAACGAGTTCGGGCCACGCAGAGGCTGGATCCGGTGATACCTAGTGAGCAGGAGCGATGGACCACCTCGAAGACGAAAACTCTCTCGCTCATCGAGGAAGGCCAAGAGGAAGAAGACTGTCTCAAGGATTTAGGAGATCCATCGAACAGAGAGGCTTCAACGGACAGCTTGCAGTGGACTCACCCGTTTGCTCCAATGGATCTTCAAGCGACGCATTGTTAATTAGGTGCACCGTGCTGACGGGTGCTGACGACAATGTGCTGACCCTTGGCGTTTAGCCAGGTCACGCCATGCACAAGAATCAAGACTGTGGCGCATGTTGGGGCAGCCATGTCTTGGTTCGTTCAATGGAGAAGCCCCGGAGAAGGCCAACGTCCTTCGTCCGTGAGCTGCTGCGAGCTGTGTGGCCGCAACTTCTTTCGCTCGAGCGATGCCTGGAAAAAGAACAGACCATCCATGGGACGGGAGGAGTACACACACACATATGCAAGCACACACGCAAGCACACGCAAGCACACGCACACACGTTTCTCCCCATGAAGAGATTCCAATGGACGTGTTGGGCAAGCCATGCCATGCAGCATGCATCAGCAGCTGCTTTCTTTCATGAGCTGATGAGACATGTGACCAGCAACACAACGCTCCACTGGGTGGTGCTTTCAATATTCTTCCCCCACTGCCACTGCCTCAAGACATGTTCCTTTGGTTTCGTTGACACCACCAATCAGTTTCTCAAAGTCGATTCTTCTCGATCCGGATCGACGTGCTTCGGTCTCGGCGCGACGGACGCGACGGACGCGACGGACGCGAAGGCGTGTTCACGCCTCAGGTCTGCGTGGCTCGAATCCAGCTCGTGTAAAGGCGGGGGGTCTCCGGTCGGGGAGACGGCGAGGTTTCGGCGGACGCCGCAGGTCGGAGGGAGGCGGATGTCATGATGTTGGTCGACACACATAGGACGTGATACAGGTCATAGTGCATCATACAGGTAGAGTATCAATTAATTGTTGGTTCTTCATTTATTGTTTATTACATTCTATTACATATTGCATAACAAAAAAACACGACAGGAAACCAAATCAAATCATTGTTTGTTCAAGGTTCTTCATACCTGGACCAAAATGGGCGACCTGTTCGAGATCTCACCTATAGATACGACCTGTCTGGGACTGCCATATTTGCCAAGTCTTGGAGATTGAATCATCCTATGACCATTTCCATGGGCTCAGACCTGTTTGAGGTGGTTTTCCCTCACTCCACGAAACGACTTTTAATTTCATGCAGTGTATCAACAAGTTCTTCGAACGAACTAGCTGGAGCTCCCGCAGATAGAGAAGTGACTGTCACTCCGGGCTCGAAGTGACTAGCTCCCAGTCTCTAGAGATCTTTGCCTCACGGCTTGGAGGGGTCCGGAGACTTGCGGATTCCGGCAAGGATGTGGTGGAACAACTGAAGATGTTCAAGATCGCGATGAGCTCAGCCGAGCGGGTCAGATTGCCTGGCAATCTGCGGGGGGGGGCAGATTGCCGCAATCTCAAAACATCCATGCATACCAGAGGCCCAGAGGCCAGTGTTGTGTCAAACACGTTTAAACTTCAAGCCGTTTAAACTGCAAACTCTTTAAACAGTGTTTGTGCAGAGTCTGGTTTAAACACATGTTTAAACCATTGCTCGAGAGCTACAGAGCGCAAGCTCGTGCTCTGCTACTTACAGCCTCCTTCTTTTGGGGCCAAGAGATGTTTGGGAGGGGGTCCGTGGGAGTCGCGAGTCAGGCTAGCCAGGTTGCCAGGCTTCTGGTCACCCTGGACCCATCTGGGGTTGACGGACACAATCCCTAAGTGTTGACGGAGCGGAAGTAGGGCGTGTTTCACGTACTGGGAGATGGAGTTTGTAGGGCTCCCAGGAGCAGAACCAATTCCAAAACATATTCCAAACAGTACCAGCACCCTCCTGTCGGGGTGGTTAATGGACACTCCTTAACAGCTAAGGGGCTATAAATAGTCACGCCTTGAAGGGTCCTGGTAATCAAAAGTCAACCTTTTCTGACACTGAAACGCATTCCTGTCACACCATTCGCAGCCTCCCCTCTCCGGACACACCAGCGACAGCCCCGCGACACGAGTCCGCGCTGCGCGTCCAATCCTTCGGTGCGACACCATTCCACTGAGATCTTGCACGAACGGCATGAGAGTGCCTGGCCTGGAAGCAGGAGTCCGTCGCAGTGCGGCGCAGTGCCTGGCGGTTCGGACCTGCTCGGAGGTCATTCCATGTTCCGTGCGATGGCAGTGAAGGACATCTGAAGTAAGCATAGCTAAGCCCAGGACGTCACCCCACTGTACCTCCAATACGGCCCTGGCATTTGGTTCACCGGGCCACCGGTCACGCCACCGGTCCGGAAAGCCCGCAGTTCTTTGGGTCCCTACCCTCTCGGGAAGAAGTGAAGAGACGGTGGACTTGGGTCCCCAACATTCGCCCAAGGCTGGGGTTTTGATTATGCACATTCACATGTACATTAGATACAGTATACATGCAGATATACTACTGTACATGCACATATGACATTTAGAAGTCCAGTTCGATTATATTATGACTGGCTGAAGCAATACGGACATTCCGATCCGACTCGTGTCACCTCAAGACCTTTCTTTTTATAGTCTTTGACTCCCAGGGTATCTTATTATAATTAATCCATTTTACTGTCATCACATGGCAAAGGCTGGCATATTGTTTAGCACGTCCGGATGACATCCCCCCAGGAACTGTATCTATGTCAGCTTTGGTGAGGGGTGTATTTGATCATATCTCATTTGATGCAGTACACAATTTCTTCCTTAATCCTGCTGTGTACAACCCTTTCCCCTCAAACTGTTCACGCTCTTGTTCTCTCTGTCTCTGCGAAACACGGATTCACATCTTATCTGCAATCTCGCTCATGCGGACCTCGCTCGTTCGCTCAACCAATTGTTTTCCAGCGTTTTCTCCGATCCGAGATCTGATGAAGAAGTTGAAGCGGGAGTTCGAGCGCATCAACCGAGACATGCGCCCTGGCCCGGTCTGGTCTTCGGCCGGGCGGATTCGGGGTGGGATCGCAGGTTGGCGATTTGGGTCGGGGGCAGTGGAAGCAGTGAGAGGTGTGGTTCCCGATTGACAAGCTGTCAGAGGGTCCCGGATGGTGCACGTTATATGTCTGACGCAAGATCCCTACACCTCCAAGTACCTCCTCACAAGGTACTTAGACCCTCCTGGCACCCACCCCAGTCCCACCTTCTGAGAAGGTACGACTGGAGGCCTAGGGGATAGGACTAGTGATACAAATGCTGCAGATCTTAGTTTGACATCGGATGTGTTACGATCGGTGATCACCTGCGCCGCTCGTGCTTGTGGCTGCGTGCGGCACGTGCTTCGTGCTTCGCACCCGTCCCAGGAACGACGTGAAGGAAGACGTGAAGGAGATCCGAGAAGCGGAGGCGCGACGTCTCCGAGATGGACATCGATTCGTAGATCCGACCCCTCCCCAAGGACGAATGAAGAGCTAGGACCGAACACCCAGAGGTGTCTAGGACGTCCATGGCGCCTCTTAGTGAGCAAAAACCACCTGCTGGAAGGTCCTGGTAGAAATGGCTTTAGAACTGAAAAGCCCAGTGGTTGTGGGTGTTCCTATTTCGAGACAAGCCCAGATTCTACACTCCCTCACTAACATGGACCTTGGTTCGTAGAGCAACATGGTCTTCTATAAGGGGCCTATGACATATTTCCATGTTATACCCTAGGGCTCCAACCATCTCCTCAGGTTCGGTGCTTAGACTCCCCCCAAATCCACCCACCCCAGTCCCACCGAACCTCAGGAAGTGGGCCAGGAGCCGGGTTAGTGAGCCAGTGTGACTCCTGAGCCTTTCCAATTCGTTCCTCCAAAGCCCCGTGCGTCTCATCTCATCGCCATCGCCATCGGGAGTCGAGGCGTCCGGTTCCAGTCGTACCTCCTCTGGTTCGGTCTGACTGGACCCTCCAAACATAAACCCACCCTGACCGTCCCACCGAAACGAAACGATACGGTACGACTGGAGGGAGATATAGGGTGTTACAGTCGTGTGCTTTTTTTCGTCCCCAAACCAGGTCAACACCTGTGAATGTCGGGTCAAGCACTGGGTGGTGTGAGGGCGAGGAGATTGATGAGGTGCTGTGGTTGATGAGGTGGCGATGTTTTGGGGTTCCAGCCCATCCAATGTAAGACATACCCCCTTCACCATCCAAAACCTAGATAGGCTAGATAGGGTCTTGAAAAAGGACTGCAGTCTTGGGCCCAAAAACACGGGGTTCTCGGTGAAAACGTGTATAATTTTGGTCTAATATCAGCAAATTCAATCATTGAGGTGGTCTATTGGTGCATGTCGGTCTATAATCCAGTTCCATGAAGTGTTTGGGAAAGATTTTGCGTGGTTTGGGATGCCCTTTGGAGGGCGAGTGTTCGTTGGTCGGAAAACGAAGGCTGACCAGACCTACCTAATTATGCAAATTGATGCATAAAAACCCTCCCATTTGGATGTAAGGATGTAAAACCTCTTCCTATGGGTGGCTTTTATTCACCAAGAGTCCACATACCCTTCTTTCTTGGAAACACAGCCGTTGGTCTTCAATGCACCTCTGAGAACAGCTTTCACAGCACAAACTAGGCGGGTGTGGATCTCCACCAGAGCTGCAAGAACATGTTCTGACCACATCAGTCAGGAATATGTTGATAGAAGTCAAGGAGATGACCACCATTGATGACCATTGTTGATAAGACCCATTGTTGACCACCATTGTCTTTCTTCTGACCACCATTGTTGACAAGAAGTCAAGGAGATTGGCTTGTTGGGCAAAACACAAACAGCTGGGGGGATCGGACGGTTTTCGCTTGAAGATCTGACTGCAAATATCCGGCTTTGCTGTTATCTAGGAAACAAGCCTCAGCCCCAACTTCTCCTATAGTTCCATAGTTCAAGAATGCTCAAGAGAGGGTCGGTTAGGGTCGGCTGCTTCCCAGAAGCGTCTCCAGAAGCGTTTCAATTTTTACTATAGAAAGGTTCAAGGATTGCTCGCGTTCGCTTAGGTTGTTCGGTTGTTCACTTTCCTTTCTAGGAGCATATATATTCATCACTCTGCACACAATGCGGACAACCTCTATTTACAAGTCCAACATTGTAACCAAAACAGTGGAGCCTGTGAACACCATGGTGTTCATTCCTCCGGTCGGGTACTCGTCGAGGTCCGCGAGAAGCAAATGCGGCTGCTGCAGCCGCCCGACAGCTCCGACGACTGAGCGGGCCACGCGGTCACTGCGGCAAACGCGTTGAGGGTGGAGACGTCGCTGGAGGATGGGAATGATCTGAGGCGGTTCCACTGGAGTTGGTTCCACAGGTGACGGTGACCGTGACAGTGACGTGAGAGGTTGGATGTGGGATGTGAGTC